ATTTAGGAGATAGTTCAGTTGAAAAATTACAGTTCTGTAGTACTGTACAGTTCTGTACCTTCATTCTTCAGTGGAACACAAAAGAAGATATTTTGAAGAGAATGTTCAAACTTCACTTTACCACAATGAAAATTAATGGTGAACAGGCTGTCAAGGACAGCATAAAAAGAGCACAATTTTACAGTTGTACCGTAAAATAAAATTATTTTGAAACACATTTTACAGTGAAATATGACAATAGCAATATTTGCTGATTTGTTTTATATTTTTATGTAGTAAAAAATTATTCTTAGTATTATTATTATTTATAGACTTTTTTTTATATTGATAATCGCAACATTTATGACTAAATTGTGCAGCCCTACAAACAAGCACATGCAGCAAACCTGAAGCTTTTTTATTTTATTATTAATCAAATTTTAAATATCAATTGCATTTTTTTAATCAAACAAATTGCAATTCGATTTTTTCCCCAAATCGTACAGCCCTTTGTGTGACGAACAGACCAGAACTGAAATGGTTATTCATTAGAAAATCTTCAAAAGCTATTAAAATCCACTTTCTGTGTATGGAACAGAACAGCTTGGACATTCTGATAACTCCTTTCGTGTTTCACAGAACAATGTTATATGGGCTTTAAAAGACATGAGGGAGAATACATTTCATTTTTGGGTGAACTATCACTTTAAAGCAAGCAGAATAGCTCCATGATATAGTCATCCATCTATAAAGGCCCAAAATAACAACAACTAATCAAAGCTTAATCAGAACAATCTCAAAGGACCTCTGCCAGGAATCTATAAGCACTGTTTATTCTGCTAATGATATCTGCATGGCCCAAATGTCATTACAGATTAAAGACAGAGCGAAAAAATAATACAATATTGACAATAATTACAGCCATCTATATGCATGTGTCACCTAAAGCTTTGCAATGGTTGAGGACATTCATTTCCTTTAGCATAATCAGGATTACGAGCACCAATGGGGTGCTGTAAAAGTTGCCAGGCTTTTAAGCCTATGACCTCAATTTTGTTTTAAACCATTGCAGAATGGATTTGTGTAAATCTTTATTCTTTCAGGCTCTGTCGTATGTGGTACTGCAACACTTGCAGATGTGTGGGTATCTTGAACATCTCCAAATAGATGCTGAAATCACAGTCTTTGGAAAGTTTTGGGTGTTGCAACTGACTCAAATCATGCTCAATTCAAACAGATGTGACAAGGGCCTCTTATATCAGGACACCAGTCATATGATGACAAACACACTCACGCAAACACACACACACACACACACACACACACACACACACATATTTTCAGATATTACAAATTTAACCACAGTGATTCCAAGCTAACAGTTAGGGAGTGGGATCTGTAAATCAACATCTCTCGTAACTCCAGACATTTCTCTTCCCTTTTCCACTTAAACCCACTAATAACACTGACACAATGTCCAGGAACACTGAGGATATATTATGTGTTGGCCGTGGGCAAGTGGACTGTGGCCCAACAAAGCCATAACCTCACAAACACTCACACTGGCAGAAGTGCAGTCAGGCATACACACAAACATGCACAACTCTTTGCCTGGCTGCCTTCTTGCATACTTTGATCCAGACTGATACTGACAAAATAATAATTAAACAGCAATAAGTCAAACCATGCTCCATATTAAAAAGGATGACACAGCTGTATTTAAAAATCAATCATTATAAAAGTATCGCTCAATCATAACTTGGGATGCTCCAAAGTGCAATCAATTAAAAATGCACAGTAATCGCACTAAACAAAACCACTGAGTAAATGTCTAATAAAATATTACCTCCAGTCTGGTGCGGTCGACATCCCGTGGTAGTTTTACTCTGACTCTGTGGGTCACAGCAAGCATGTCATAGGGGTAGACCTGCAAAATACATGGATGTGAAAGACACACAATTACACAGATGCACACATACCGTAAGACATCATATAAAATTAAGACATTTGTTACAAAATATATTCATTTCAAATTAATGCTGTTCTTTTGAACTCTTGAGCACCAAATCAGCATATTAGAAGATAACGATCAAGTGAAACAGTTGTTGCTGTTTTTTCTGTATTTCAAAAACAATAAAAAATCGTTCTCACCCCAAATTCTTGAACGGTAGTGTACTGTATATACATAAATTTAATTTTGTAGTATATCTGTTCATGAATCTATGATCAACTAGTGGTTCTTATACTGGTTTTTGTTTGAGGACCCGGTTTGTACAGGTGCCAACCCAGTATCAGAATTATGTATTGTAGAATAATGTTCCTGTGGCTCAGTGGTAGAGCACTGCGTTAGCAGCGCAAAAGGTCGTGGGTTCGATTCCCAGGGAACACACATACTGGTAAAAAATGTATAGCCTGAATGCACTGTAAGTCGCTTTGGATAAAAGCGTCTACTAAATGCATAAATAAAAAAATTAGAAATTAGAAAAATGCATTCAAATTTGATATTAAACTATATGAACCCAACAATATTCAAAATTACTGAAATGACACATATACAGGATGAATGTAAAATGAACAATTTTGTATCTAAATGTCTATTGAAACCAACAAAAGCATCTCGCAACCAATAATTTACCACACAAAATCCACCACTGCAAGTGAACCTGTATTTAATGCTGTATTTAGTTGCATTTTGTTATTTTCGTTTCCATTCTACAGCAATCCACTATACACACCAGAACTCACCTTGTACTCTGAGAAACCATGGAAAACCGGAAAGATGTTGAAAAAAGGAGAAAGAGAAAGACAAATTACAACCATTAATTCTGTACGGTAAAAATGCAACTCATCTGTTGTCTATGTAAGTTATAAACTACTCACTCACCTCTCATTCCACTCCAGGATGAGTCATGATCGCCCTCATCCTCGCCAAGATCAGCCGCCTAGTAAGAAGCAATGCATGACAAGATTTGGCATATTCACAATTATATATGGTGCATATTTATTCACATGCAGAATGCATGGCAATATCAAAACAATAGATGGTTGTTTTTTCAACTACAGGCACATTTATGTCCCAAAGGAACTGATTTCAGTGTCTGGTTTTAAGGTCGGCACATTAAAAGCTTCTTGAAAAAGTTTCACCATGCCTTCATTATTTATTTTTGCTACCATCAGATGAGAGTAACAATATCATGTGTGAACAGAGAAGCTGCTGTAACTGTGAAAGTTTTTCTTTCATTTCCTGAGGTTAAAGGTTAAAGTCTAGCACAGACAGAGGCTTGAATCCTTAGGGCTGGAGCTTGCCGGTGGATTTTGCTATAAATATTGATCTATGACCAGCTCTCTGTTTCACATGCCTTTGTGAACGCTTGTGGAAAGTAAAGGGCGAAACATGACACTAAGTCAGACCAGATTAGATATAAAGAATGGGTAATATTTCTGTTTTCAAGTAGTTTAACCGTTGCAAAATACTGCCACCTAGTGTACAGGAGAAGGTTTCATACCATTCTCAAACAAAGAAGACACTGGCAACACTGTATGTGAGATAAAAGATCTAAATCAGATTTTTAATGAAGAGTGTGCTTGGGTTTCCGCTGTGGAAGCACATCTTGCTCTTCATTACAGAGGATAGTCCATTAAGGGAGCCAGATTTCAAGATCAAAACAGAACATGGAAAACAGTCAGAACAAGACACACTTCTAACTGCACGCAAACACAGACACACCCTCTGAGCATTATGGCTTCCTCGGCTAAATGTCTGCATTAACTGATCTGTGACTGTGTGTCGTGATGTGTGCGATTACAACAGCCCTCTGTGTCCCAGCAGCTGGGTTTGACAAATACAACTCGGATCAAACAACATTCTTCACTGCCGAGAGAGTGAATGACAGCACTTGTGACCACAGCTCACATATATTCTCAAAAATCACACACAGATGGCATGTCAAAAGGTTGTGGGGTGCTGTGTTTGTGCACAGATATCAGGTCTCACAAAGTTTACCTTGTATATGCCATTCCGCCCATATCCTGGCAGCGAAGCAGACTTATTGTATGGAAAGTCTGTAAAACAGAGAATTTAGAAAGATTTATGGCACTTTACTCTAGCGTCATGTTCAAGGGGAAAAGAGGCAGAGACAGTTTAAGGTGGAGGATATGAAACATTCATAGAAAAATTAACAGAAGAAATTGTACCACTCAATATGGCAGCTGTAAGAAAAGAAAGCCCTGCCTTTTAGTTCAAATCATTTTTCCATTTACTCTACAAAGGGCATTCAAATTTACTTGACCAGTCAGAAAAATACAGTTTTTAGTCACAATTGAAGTTTTAAGCAAAAATGATAAATGATATTGTTGTCAGATTTGATTGCTGATTTAAATTGTCAACAGTTTTGCATATTTTAGTCTTTGGCCATTCAAGCAAATAAGACCTGTACTTGTATACCTGTTACCTACATAGAAAATAGCTGCTCTGGGATGTTAGCAAGATGGCCACTGACATGAACTGATGTAACTTTAAAGGAGACAGCGGATGCAAAGTTCACTTTTACATGGTGTTTGCAATAAATTTGTCTTAGCAGTGTGTGGACACAACCACCCTACAATGATAAATACCCATTCACTCCTTTTTTTAAAACCCCACAAAACCTAAACAGTATCAATTATCAAGCCATTTTTTTTAAGCAGTATGACATCATATTGCTCAGGCCCCGCCCACGACCACTGACAGACTGTCCTGTATTAGCATATCTCCGCCCTCAGCCTGTTGTACGCTGTCTGCCATTCTCTCCGCGCTTGAGTAGCTATAGCGACAACAATATCTCGTAAGCAATGCAGGTGTTTTCTAGTTGGATGTAAAAGTGAACATAAGAATCTTAATTTTTTCTCAACATTAGAGCCACTCATGACGCAGTGGATTAGTTTTGTTTTTGATGGTAACTCGCCAATGAATACACAAAAAAAAAACGTAAGAGAGGGGTGTGGTGAGCAGTAGCTCAATATCATTCAAAGAGACATGCACCAAAACGGGTCGCTGTGAACAGAGCTGTTTTTGACAAGGTAAAAAGGGTGTTGTTTTATACGACTATTGAGGAATTTTAACCAAAGTATGTTGCAGGCATATCATAAAGACCCTAAAGAATCATGCCAACTTGTGGAAAATGGGCATCCGATGTCCCCTTTAAGGAAGTTTGGATTTTACGAAATCATTGATTGGCTACTCACTGGGTTGAGAAATATCGGTGGGTAAGCTGTGGGTGGAGGTCCTGGGGTCCAGATCTGGAGACTGTCTATCCATCTCACTCTTCAGATTCATCCAACTTGTTCTGGTCTATTGACCAACAAAAACAGAAACACATGTTATACAACCAAGTAAAGAATTCAAC